GCTCCCTATGGGGCCACGAAACGTGTGAGGGGTGTGCCGAAATGGTGGTGGGGAGGCATGCGACCCTGCCACTGGGGCCTTCGGTGGAGCTCCCTAGGTGGGGACGCATGCCGCGGACCCATGCCACTGGGGCCTTCGGTGGAGCTCCCCATGGGCCACCCTAACGACGTGTGAGGGGTGTGCCGAAAATGGGTGGTGGGGAGGCATGGAACCCTGCCACTGGGGCCTTCGGTGGAGCTCCCTATGGGGCCACGAAACGTGTGAGGGGTGTGCCGAAATGGGTGGTGGGGAGCATGCGGACCCTGCCACTGGGGCCTTCGGTGGAGCTCCCTATGGGGCCACGAAACGTGTGAGGGGTGTGCCGAAATGGGTGCGGTGGGGCATGGGGCGCAGCCACTGGGGCCTTCGGTGGAGCTCCCTATGGGGCCACGAAACGTGTGAGGGGTGTGCCGAAATGGGTGGTGGGGAGGCATGCGGGCCAGGTGGGGCGCTGCCCGCATGCCACTGGGGCCTTCGGTGGAGCTCCCTATGGGGCCACGAAACGTGTGAGGGGTGTGCCGAAATGGGTGGTGGGGAGGCATGCGGACCCTGCCACTGGGGCCTTCGGTGGAGCTCCCTATGGGGCCACGAAACGTGTGAGGGGTGTGCCGAAATGGGTGGTGGGGAGGCATGCGGACCCTGCCACTGGGGCCTTCGGTGGAGCTCCCTATGGGGCCACGAAACGTGTGAGGGGTGTGCCGAAATGGGCGGTGGGGAGGCATGCGAACCCTGCCACTGGGGCCTTCGGTGGAGCTCCCTATGGGGCCACGAAACGTGTGAGGGGTGTGCCGAAATGGGTGGTGGGGAGGCATGCGAACCCTGCCACTGGGGCCTTCGGTGGAGCTCCCTATGGGGCCACGAAACGTGTGAGGGGTGTGCCGAAATGGGTGGTGGGGAGGCATGCGAACCCTGCCACTGGGGCCTTCGGTGGAGCTCCCTATGGGGCCACGAAACGTGTGAGGGGTGTGCCCGAAATGGGTGGTGGGGGAGGCATGCGAGGCATGCCCTGCCACTGGGGCCTTCGGTGGAGCTCCCTATGGGGCCACGAAACGTGTGAGGGGTGTGCCGAAATGGGTGGTGGGGAGGCGTGCGAACCCTGCCACTGGGGCCTTCGGTGGAGCTCCCTATGGGGCCACGAAGCGTGTGAGGGGTGTGCCGAAAGGGGTGGTGGGGAGGCATGCGAACCCTGCCACTGGGGCCTTCGGTGGAGCTCCCTATGGGGCCACGAAACGTGGGAGGGGTGTGCCGAAATCGGTGATGATGATGATGATGATGATGATGATGATGATGAAGAAGATGATGATGATGATGATGATGATGATGATGATGATGATGATGGTGATGATGGGAGGAGGGAGGGGGGGGGAGGAGGAGGAGGTGAGGAACGCGGGGCGCCGTCTCTTCAAAACGAGGACCCAACACCACAGGATGGTTGGGAAGAACAGTCTCGGATGTTTACGAGTAGGTCGGGCGTGTCCCCCTGCAGGCGGATGCTGGACGAAACATAGAAGATACCCTAGAAAATACATCCCAGAATAGCCAAACAATAATCCACAAGTCGTCACCAGGCTTATGTGTTGACCATTCTGGAAGACTCCTCCTTTAGAGGGACACGCCCGACTTAAAAGTCTAGGACGGGAGGGAAGGAGAAGCTGGGAGGGAAGGAAAAGCTGGGAGGAAGGAAAAGGGAGGGAAGGAAAGCTTGAGTCTAGGACGGGAGGGGAGGAAAAGGCTGGGAGGGCGGAGCGCCGTGCAGCTCGGCAGGGAGAGCCGGCAGCTTCAAGAGGAGCCGAGAGCGGCGCGCATGCACCGTGCCACGTCTGGACTCCCTGCATTCTGGGCGACGCAAATTCGTCATCGCTCGGACGTCCATTGCTGGTGTTTGTTTCGGTTGGGCGACGCAAAATTGAGCGACGTAATGGGGACGCAAAATTGGGCGACGTAAAATTTAACTCCCTGCAATTTGGGCAACGCAAAATTCCCGCACGTCTGAACTCCCTGCAATTTGGGCGACGCAAAATTGAGGGATGAAAAAACGACCCTACCCTGGGTTACAAGTGCGCGGTCTGTAAACCTCCTGGGAACCCCCAAAGCCTAGAGCGGCCAGGACGCGGCACATCACGCAGGGTTTGCCCTGTCAGCCCACAGGAGTTTCAGCGCACAGCGCCTCGTGTAGGGGCGTTTCTTCTGCCCTTGACAAAAGAGGGTCCAGCTGAAAGGGGGTGGTGCAATAGATTTGGGGCAGTTTCGATTGCAAAGGTATTGTGCCAAAGAACAGTACTGCATTGTCTTGCAAACAATGTTCTGCACGCGGAAATCCAGCAATACGTCTGCGCCCCGAAATGTACTGCACGCCCCAAATGTATTGCAATCTCACAAATCTATTGCGCAAAATCTATTGGGTCACCACTCCGTTGTCGCTGACCCACTTTTGGGTCAACCCGATGCAAGCCCCACCCAAACGTGGTGTGGTGCATAGTAGTTCCGGCTCTGGGGGCCGAACAACTATACACCGTGCAACTCGGTGGTCGAAGATCGACCGACGATGCCTCGAATGGCGCCAACGCGGTACGGTACATGCATGTCGTCCGCGGAAATCAGACTAATAGGACGCTGCCGAGGGTCGCTCCACCCTCGGACCGCATGATTCGGAACTCAGCCTTGCGAAGCGGCAGGAGCCACCCCTGGCTGCCTCACAGGTGCGAGCCATTTCGAGTACTACCATTCCCTGCTCGTTGATATTGAGGGGGAAGGCGACGACGCCGAGAATTGAATAGCAAACAACTGCACAATTCGATGGTCCTTGGGACGTGTGTTAGCGCCACATGTGTGTGTTGTCCACAGAAGTCCCAGAACACAACGCCGTAGATTTGGAAAGAGGGCGAACACCGGCTGCGTGCTATCGCTGTGGGCGAACAGGGGCAAACACACACACATACACACACGCACACACACATTGCGCTAACACAGGTCCTCGAGATCATCGATCAAACTGGAGGTCAGCGCCTCTCCTGGCGAGCGCAGCCGCGCCGGGGATGTCGCCAGAGATGGGGCCGTGGAGGTCCACAGAGCCCATCCAGCAAGTCTTGTCGGACCTCCGAGACCTTTCAAAAGCAGCTTGTCGGATTTGTTTTTCTGAGAAGCTAGCAGGTGCGCTGTCGGATACAGAATCGGGCGGGCCATGTTGCCTTCCGTTGCCTCCCTAAACCTATCCCTAGCTCCATTCCTATGCCTACGTTTCCGCAGCCCATATCCCCATGCCTCCATGTCCCTATTCCTATCCCCATCCCCATCCCGAACAGTGTCCCTCTGTTCTGATGTTCCTAGCCCGATCCCGATCCCTCATTATGACCACCCCTAGCACCCTCCCGACTCCCCTGTCGGGACCCCTCAATCGTGACCCTCATCATGGCCCAGAGCGAAAACATGTAAGCCTGGTCATGGCTTTCTGCCGCAAGGACAAGGATGCCACTCATGCCAGCGTAGTCCTCTGCTCCCCTCTGGCGGCACTTCCTCCCCTTCTCCAAGAGGGACAATAGCGGAGCCCCGCGCGGAGCTCAATGCCTACGAGCTCAGCGCTGAAGTTCCTGGATCGGCGCTGGACCCCCCTCCCTGGCGTGCGCGGAGTGCGCCAGAAGCGGCGCTGGAGGCAGCACCAGGGGGGCCCAGCGCGAACTCGATACAGGCAATCTGCGCGGACCTCCGAAACTACAGTCATCGACCTCACCTAAGGAACGATAAATAACGAACGGAAACCTTTTTCCAAGGAGTAACGCATGAGGACGATAAATAATAGATAACGCGTGCAAGCTGAAGGAACGACCGAACCATTTTTCAAAAGTAAGTATTCCTGATTCAAGCCACTCACTGTATGTTTACGCAGTGCTCGATTCTTCGACGCCTCCTCCCAGTCGCGATTCTCTTCGATTCCCTCCTCGTGGCCCTCTGTCCGTGTTCGCGTGCCGCTCCCGCCTGCGCTCCTCCTCAAAATCCACCGCGCCGCTCATCACCGCCTGCGCGGGATCTCCTTCGTGATCTCGGATAGCTCTGATCGGGCCAGACGAAAGTTAGCAGGCGAAGAGCGACACACCATCATTTGAGTCCCCTCCTCCTCCGTTTCCGTCGCATCCTTCTCCTCCTCCTCCTCCACCTCCTCTTCTTCCCCGATCCCCCCATGCTGGCGGCGAGCCCAGGGGGGAAGGCCTGGCACCGTCCGAGGAGAGTTCTAGGTCCAGTCCAAATGCTCAAACGGCTACTCAGACGTCGCAGGGATTCTGAGAACCCCGTCGCCTTCTGACCAGGGCGCCCCCTCTCTCCCTTCCCCTGGAAGCGCGATCGAGGCCCTGGTTGCCCCCAGGCTTTCGACATAACTTGGTTCCCTAGCGGCCGCTCGGGACGCCCCCAGCACCTCTGGGAGTGCTCTCGGCGAGGCGCAGCCGCTGGAGAGCAGCCCAGGGCCAGGGGCACCACCGAGAACCGAGGAAGACGCGCGAGGACCTTGGAGGCCTCCTGCGTGGGGTCCGAGCAGATGGGGTCGAAGGATCGCGCCGCATCGCCGATGCATCGCCGATGTATTGCCATTGCATCGCCGATGCGCTGGCGATGCATCGTCGACGTCGGCGGTGCATCGGCGACGTCGGCGTGAAGCAAATCGGGCCACACATCGAGCCGCATCGCCGATGCGTCGGCGATGCGCCGCGATCGTCTGACCCCATCTGCTCCGACCGCATCTGGGAGGCCTAGACACCTCAAACCTCGAGTCCCAAAACTTCCCCCAGCGAAGAGGAGCACCCGCCGTGCCTAAGTCGGGCGTGTCCCAATACAGGCCGACTTTGGACGAACATAGAAAGCGAAACAATAACAACACATGCCAAAAAGTCGTCCACACACTATTTGTTCACTACTTTTGAATATTCCTCCTGTAGAGGGACAGGCCCGACTTAAGCCGTGCCCCTTCCCTCCTGTGGAGGGGCGCCGCCTCAGGTCCGCCTCGGCGGAGCTCGTGGCGTCCGAGTCGCCCTCTGCGCAGGGGGCGGTGCTGGAGGCAGGCGGGGGCCCGCAGACGGGAACGGGGCGCAGAGACTCGGTGCTCGGGCGCAGGGGACGGCATTTGTTGAGCAGGGACCGACCGTCACGGCACTCCTGTAGTCCTACCACGAAATGTTCTTTTTGCTCGTGGCTCGGCTGCCGCGAACTGCGTCCGACTGGATCTCTGGACCGAGTTCTCCACGCAAGCAGCCGGGAGGCGTGCCTCCTAAAGCCGGTCGTCTTAGAACCCACAGTTGTTCTAAGAACAAGAGCAATGTTCTTAGAACATAATCCTGATGTGATAAAACAAAAGAGACTCCGCCAGAAATGTTCTAAGAACTATTCGTGGAAACCACAAAAGATTATTAGAACATTGTGTGGTAGGGTTATAAGCGAGCCAAGACGCTTCGCCACTGCTTGAATGTGAGATTCGTCAACAGAAAAACATCAGCCGAAATTAAGCCAGATCGGATCGGGATGAAGCCGCCGACCGTCGCTTGCTAGGGGTGCGAAGACGTATGAGATGATGTGCTGCCCGCCCCCTCTCTTCCCCCCCCCCCTTGGTGTCTGAAATCCGATTCAAGGAGGGGGGGCGCGAGGGGTCTTGGGGGAGGGCCTAGTGGGGGGCCAGGGGGGGCCCAGGGGGTGACCCGGGAGGAGGGGGGGGGGGCGGGCCTCCAAGCTCAACAACGCTCCCCCCGTGGCCTCTGGAGCCCATTTCTACACCCTGTGGCCTCCAAGATGCCTGCGAATCGTCCAACGCTTGCTCAAGCAGGGCTCCAACACGCAAGTGGGTCCTGGAAGGCGACCGCGACAGCCTCCGACTGCCCAAGAGGCCTTAAAGCCGCCCCAAAAAGGCTCCATTAACGACTATCGAAGGGGGCACCAAGAAGCAAGAGTTGCCCACCTCCCCTGATATGTGTGTACATGTATATAATTGAACCATGTTCGCATGTTTAGTGCCGATAGCGTCCAAGACGGCTCAAGAGGCACCCGTGATCGCTCCAAGACGGCCCAAGAAACCCCAAAGAGAGCCCCAAGACGGCCGGAGTGGGTCCCAAGACGGCCCAAGAGGCGCTCAGGACAGGTTAAGAGAGCCGCAACAAGAACCCCAAGAGGGGCCCAAGAGAGGCACCTCCGCCCAAGAGGGCTCCCGAGACTGCTAGCAGGCGCCCAAGAAGCTCCCAAGAGGCCCGATGAGGCCCCCAGAGACCCGACAGAGGCCTCCAGAGGGCCCAAAAAAGGGTCCTCACCCGATGACTCCGTCCCTCCTCCAGAGGTAGGCGGCATGGCGTAAGCCTTTCGAGCATCGCTGCTATCTGAGATCCGGCGATTCCAGGTCCCCCGTGGCCCCCATGGAGCCCTCGAGGGGTCCGCGCCCTGCCTCTCCCCCTCTCCGGCCCCGCTCCCGACCTCCGTGGGCCTCTGGCTTGGCTGTGTGCTCTCTCCGTGCGCAGTGGGGCTGCATTCGTGAAAGGCCCCCCTCTCGCCAGCCCGATGATGTGGCATAGCGGAACTGTTCGCGCCGAGGGAGAGGGAGGAGAGGGAGAAGGAGGAGGAGGAGGAGGAGGAGGAGGAGGAGGAGGAGGAGGAGGAGGAGGAGGGGCAGGAGGAGGAGCAGGAGCAGGAGGAGGAGAGGAGGAGGAGGAGGAGGAGGAGGAGGAGGAGCGGGCCGAACGCTCCGAGAGCGTTCCAGACGGAATACTCTGGAGCTGTCTATCCCAGTCCTGGGCCTGCCCGAGAACACCCATCCGCACGGACAGACATGTTCGGGGGTCCAGATTGGCGCTGGGCCCCCCTGCGCGCGGGGGCCGGCGCCAGAAGCGCCGCCAGGAGGGTCCAGCTCCGACCCAAGATTCCCAACCCCCCGTGGTTGGGCTCTCGCTTTGAATGCAGCACTGTGGTCGCGTCTCATTCCATCCTCCTCCTTCCCGCCTCCCTCCTTCCTCTCGCTCTCTCTCCCTCTTTCTCAGTATCTCTCTTTGTTCTCTCTTTCTCTCTCTCTCTCTGCCTCTCTTCTTGTCTCTTACCTCTCTCGTACCTGCCTCTGAGCTCGCCATTCCTGGGGAGCGGCGATCTACGAAGCTGTCTCCACTTCCGCGGGCTGATGGGGGGGCAGCACAATGTCGACACATCCAAATTCAAACTCGGCCTCGCCAACCTTGGGGGGCTGCGATTTGCGAGGCTGTCGCCACTTTCGACGGGTGCTGAGGGAGCCAGCACATTGTCCGTTGGACCCCCAGCAGCCCTCGAAAGTGGCGACAGTTTCACAGATCACAGCCTCCCAGGGATAGCAAGGACCAATTTATGTCTGCGTTTGAGGTCGCTCCGCTGACCCCCAAGCAACCCTGGAAAGTGGCGAACGGTTCGCAGACCGCAGCCTCTCAAGGTTGGCGAGGTCCACTTTAGGTCCGCGTGTGACGCCACTCCGCTAGACTCCCCAGCGGCCTTCGAAATCAGGGGCAGTTTCGCAGATTGCACCACCTCCTCCCCCCAAGGGATGGCGAGGTTGAGTTTACGTCTGCCGCTGCTGGACCCCCCAGCAGCCCTCGAACACGACGGCAATTTGGCAGATCGCAGCACCCCCCCAGAGATGGCAAGGACTAATGTATGTCCGCGTATGGTGTCACCACGCTGGACCCCCAGCAGCCCCCGAAAGTGGTGACTCTTTCGAAGATCACAGCCCCCCAGGGATGGCGAAGACTAATGCATGTCTGCGTGTGACGTTCACTCCACTGGACTCCCCAGCAGCTCTCGAAAGTGGCGACACTTTCGAAGATCGCACCCCCCCCCAAGGATGGCGAATACTAACATAGTTCCGCGTATGACGTCACTCCGATGGACCCCCCAGCAACCCTCGAGAGTGCCGACAAATCGCAGCCCCCACAGGATGGCGGTTTAATGCAGGTCCGCGTATGGCGCCACCCCGCGGGAACCCTCAGCAGCCTTCGAAAGTGACGGGTGCTTCGCAGGTCAAACTTATGTCGGCGTACGACGATCACTCCGCTGGGCCCACAAGTAGCCCTCGCAAGGCGTGACACTTTCGAAGATCGCAGCCCCCCACAGGGATGGAGAAGTTCAATTTAGGTCCGCGTATGGCGTCACTCCGCTGGACCCTCCAGCAGCCCTCGGAAGTGTCGACTGCTTCAGCTTCGCAGATCTCAGCCCCCGAGGGACGGCGACGCAAACTTTAGGCCCGCGTATGATGTCATTCCGCTGGACCCCCCCCCCGCCCGCGTCCCTCGAATGTGCCGACACAGTACTTGCTTAGCAGGTCGACCACCCCTCCCCCAGGGACGGCGAGGCCCAGTCTAGACCTGCGTATGACGTCACCCTGCTGGGCCCCCAGCAGCCCTCGAACGTGGCAGGAATTTCGCAGATCGCAACCCCCCAAGGATGGCGAAGACTAACGCATGCATGCGTGTGACGTCACCCCGCTCGACAGCCCTGCAGCCTTCGAGTGTGGCGACAGTTCCGCAAGCCGCTGCCCCTCAGGGATTGAGAATACGAGTGAAAGTCCGCGTGTGACGTCACTCCGCTGGACCCCCAGCAATATTCGAAAGTGGCGAAAGTTTCGCAAATCGCAGCCCGCCTCAAGGATGGCAAGGGCCCGCAGATGGCGCCACTCCGCTGGACCCCCAGCCGCACTCGAAAGTGGCGATCACTCTGCCGAGCCCCCCAACAAACCTCGAAAAGGTACATGTTTTTCGAACCGCAGCCCCCCCAAGGATGGCGAGGTCCCGCTCTGATCGGCGCGTGACGCCACTCAGTTGGACCCCTTGCAGCCCTCGAACGTCGAGACAGTCTCGCTTTCTTGGTCTGTCAGCCCCATGGCGGCGGCGATGGGGCAGGGTAGCATACAAATCGGAAGCATGGCAGAAGGCAGGTCGGAGGCAAGGTAGCAGGCAGGCAGGACGGAGGCCAGAGAAGGAGTGTGCGACCGCTCCTTTCAAAACGAATGCCCAACGCAGGAGGGCTAGGGAGACACACTACCAAGGAACCCCGGGGAACCTGGCGACGACAACGCCTCGCACCACCCGGTTAATCAACACTGACCCTGCGACGTACCCAAGCCATCTGCATTGAGTGACAAGAGGAGCTGGTCCAGAATAGCATGGCCCATGACAACGCAGGGTCGGCCATTGGTTGCGCAAGCTAAATGGGAAGCGCGCGTATTGCGCGACTCACACGATACCGACGGAAGGACGAAGACTGAAGCCCCGAGCTCGAGGAGGAATTGGGGGCGGAAGCAACGGGCAGGAAAAGGACGGAAGAGTGGCAGAAAAGAAGTTTCCGCGGCTTCACCAGTTAGGCGGCGGAAGGAGGAAGAGGACAGCAAAGGAAGAGCCAGGATGAGGAAAGAGGATGGCGACAATTTCCCAATGGCACACTTGAGAAAACGCGCGGCCCGCACCATGTCGCTCTGGCGCTCCAAAAAAACAACTGTTCAAAACTGGTGAAAGAGAGCGAGGACGAAATCGCCCGCCAAGCTCTCCGCTTCCTTCCTGCACCTTGAAGTGCGGGGGCTAAACGCTCGCAGGCGCGCCGCCAGGTCCTCAGGCGGCCCGCGGGAGAAGAAATCAAGGCTGACCCGACTCCGCGCAGGATGTCAGCTGCTGACCCCCAGGAGGCCTCGAAGGTGGCGACACCTTCGCAGTTCGCAACCTTCCAGGGATGATGAGGTCTAGGATGAGTCCGCGTGGAACGTCAACACAATTGAAGGGGCTGGGACACACAAATAATTACACACAGAAAACTATTCCCCATATTTTCTCATATTTTCTGGGTTGTTGTCTTCCCCCCCACTTCCCATATTTTCTGGCGAATCGACGATTAATTGTGTCTGTGTGTTTTTCCCCTCCTGAACAATGCCCCCCCGCCCGCAGCCACTGAAAGTGGCGACAGGCTCCCCGCTCGCAGCCCCGCGCAGCCCCCCAGGGATGGCGATGCCCAACTCCTGAGCACGCCATCTAAAGTGGGCGACAGTTTCGCAGATCCCCCCCCCCAGGGATGGCGTGGTCAAACTTGAGTCCGCGTACGAGCCCCCCCAGCGCAAACCGAAAGTGGCGATACTTTCGAAGATCGCCCCCCCCCCCCCCCCCAAGGATGGGACGAGGAGGTCAAACTTAGGTCCGCGTGTGTCGCCACTCCGCTGGACCCCCCAGCAACCATCAAGAGTGGCGACAGTTTCACAGTTTAGCAGCCCCCAGGGGTGGCGAGGTCAAATTTGGAGTCCGCGTAAGACGTCACTCCGCTGGGACCCCGTGCAGCCCTCAAAAGTGGCGACGTTTTAGGAGCTCGCAGCCCCCCCCCAGGGATGGCGAGGTTAACATTGAGTCCGCGTAAGACATAACTCCGCTAGACGTCCGAGCAGACCTCAAACATGGCGACAATTTCCCAGTTCGCAGCCCGCCCAACGGATGGCGAGTTCAGTCCGCGTAAGACGTCGCTCCGCTGGACCCGCCAAACATCCATCGAAAATGGCGACGGTGTCGCACTTCGCAGCCGCCCCAGAAATGGCGAGATTAAGTTTGAGTCCGCGTAGGACGTCACTCCGCTGGACCCCCCAGCAACACGCAAAAGTGGCGGCAGTTTCCCAGTTCGCAGCCCCCAGGGATGGCGAGGTCAAGTAGGAGTCCGCGTAAGGCATCACTCCGCTGGACGCCCCAGCAGCCCTCAAAAATGGTGACAATTTCGCAATTCGCATCCCCCCTGGGATGGCGAGGTACAAGATGAGTCTGCGTATGACGTCACTCCGCCGGACCTCAAAGCAGCCCTTGCAAGGGGCGACGGTTTCGCTCTTCGCACCCCCCCAGGATGGCGAGGACGCGGGGTAAGAGGCAGAAGTGAAGGCGACAGGGCGGCGGGGGGCGGGAGAAGGTGTGCGACCGCAGTGCCCTCTATTCCAAACGAGAGGCCAACGCAGGAGGGCGGACGCAGAGAAGCATCCTCTGGCAACGCCAGATACGGGCAAAGATCAGATCGCAGGTGCGTGCAGGGTGGGACCGGCTTCCGGGGGGATGGCACTGAGCCGGACTCGGGCCGTGCATCGCCGAGGGATCGGCGACGGCGGCTCCCGATAGCGCAGCCGCGCGCCCCCCGCCTGCGTCGAGAGTGAGCGGACAGAACCAGAGGCCGTCGTCGTCGTCGTCGTCGTCGTCGTCGTCGTCGTCGTCGTCGTCGTCTTCGTCGTCGTCGTCGTCGTCATTCGTCGTTCGACCTCGCCCGCCGGGCTGATGCGTCCCACCGCTGGGATAGGGCGCTGCTCGCGTCACCGCCCGGGCGCCCGACGGCCGCGAGGGGTGCTCCGAGCACGCCCCGGAGGCTCTCGGCGAGGGGAAGCTGCTGGAGAGCATCCCGGCCCGAGACGAGAGGACCTCCAGGAACGGAGGGAGGCTCCCCTCGCCTCTTCGACGAAAGCGATCCCCCCCCCCTGTTCGACGCGACGCCCTGCGCCAGCCCCACCCTGAGGCTGCCCCCAAAGGGCTGGAGCAGCGCTGGACTGGACCCACAGATAACATGAGGACTCAACTGGGAAGCACATCCCCCTTGAAACACCTCTTGGAGAATGCCGTGTTTTGATGCCAACGAGCACATTCGAAACATACGCCGAACAAGAGCTCCACGACATCCCCTAGACCCCACCCCATGCAACCACCACTGCAAACACCTCTCAAGCACTGCAGGGGGCAGGTCAGCGGAGGTGCCTCCGACGACGCCTGGGAGCGGAGCGTCGGTATCCTCGCCACCAGCCTCGACGTCTGCCGCTCCATCCCTCCCCTCCCTTTTCTGCACGTTCGGAAACAAGTGTTCGGAGCTCCGCACGGATAGCTTGGACTGGCGCCGGAACCCACTTCCTGGCGCGCGCAGCGCGCCAGGGGCGGCAACGGAGCGCCGCCACCAAAGGGGTCCAGCGCGGGTTCAGGAAATCCGCGCGGAGCTCCGAACAATCATGATCATGTTGCGCGTTGGCCTTCGAGGACAAGAGAAGGTCAGAGAACACGCAAAGCAATACAGTGGAGGCTAGTCCATACGAACCTTCCGCAATAAACCCAACCCTGAGACCCTAGGAGCTTCATTAATTTTTGGTGTGGGAACGTCGCGATCTCCATCGCAAAACTGTCGACACCGAAGCAAAAAACGATGGCACCCTGGAGGCAACACCAGGTGCTTTTTGGCATGGGTGCCCACTCTAGCCATCGACCCCAGCACGGTGCCTCCAGAAAAGCATGGCTGCCATCGACTGGCCGCCGTACCCCTCCCCTCGCCCGATTTCCCCCTCATAGCTTGGGAGCCCTGGGACATGTGTCTACTTACTTGTGTGCCCCTAGGCCCCTTTTTATAGGTGTGTGTGGGTGCCTTGGACGGCCTCGGGGCGGCCACACGAACACACGCGTGGCCGCAGTTCTCTCCAGCACCTTCGCCTCTTCGCGCGGGCGGGCTTGCGCTGGGCGGAGGGCCGCGAGGTCTGGAGGAGGCGAAGGCACCCGGCAGAAGGACGAGACATCGTTGAAGGGGCCCTGTGACACACAAATAAATACACACAAATAAAAAGACTCCCCATATTTTCTCATCTTTTCTGAGTTTTTGTCTTCCCCCCCACTTCCCATATTTCCCCATATTTTCTGGGGAATCGACGATTAATTGTGTCTGTGTGTTTTTTTTCCCTCCTGAATCGTGGCGCACGATGGCTCGGATCGGCTGCCCACCAAGGAAACGGCCTTGCTACCGGAGCCACCGGAGACAGCCGGGATCCACGTCGAGACGCACCGCCGCTGCATGAACAGTGCATCAGCGATGCGGCGCGATCTGGCCATCGCTCGGACGTCCATTTCCTGTGCTTTTTCCGGTTTCGTGCGTGGTTATTTCGCCAAATGATCGAGGATGTTCCTCGATGGGCCTCGCCGAGGAAAAAACGCACACGTCCGAGCGATGCGGCGCGATCCTCCGACGGCCCGATTCGCCAGCTCGCCCTTTGCCGTCTCCCCCGCCCACCCCGCTGGCCCCGGCAGCAGGGCCTTCCTTGGTGGGCAGCCGATCCGGTTCTCGGTCCGCCATGACGCCTCCCCCCTTCGCCACGTACCTCCGCCTCCCTCGGGCTCCGCCGCCCTCCGACCCCGCCTGCCCCGACCCCATCTGGGAGGCCCTCAAGCGTAAGTTGCCGGCTTCCCCGGCGCCCCCCGGAGGCCCGAGGCGCCGGGGAGGGCGCCGGTGACGAGGCGCCGCGGCCTGCGCCGCGGCCTGCGCCGCGGCCGCGGCGACCCCCCCCCCCCCGGCGCGCAGAAAGAAACTCGCGGGGCAGCCGCGGGACAGCCGCGGAACAGCGGCGCGGCCATAGCCGAACGGGCCCTGGGACACACGAATAAACACACACACACACACAAAGAGAGGGTTTCCCGATATTTCTCCTATTTCCTGCGTGTTCGTCTTCCCCCCACTGCCCATGTTTCCCCATATTTCTCTGGGGATCGACGATGAATTGTGTCTGTGTGTTGTTTCCCCTCCTTCACAGTGCCGAAGCGAAGGAAGGGACAGCCGCAGCATAGCGGTCGAGGGCGGCTGCGCAGCGGCAGCCCTGCGGCAGCGCAGCGACGGGGTCGCAGCAAGGGCGAGACGGGGATGAAGGGGGCTTGGAAGAGCCAGGGATGAAGGGGGGGGGAATCCCCTCCCCGAAGGGGATACCAGTTGGAGACAAATCAGAGCCGGGAACAAATACGAGCGTGGACCTGGCGGGAACCTGACGGGAGGAGCACCTGGAGGGCGAACGGCCACACGCGCCCAGACGGCAAGCCGTGGACACGCAACTGCAATCATGCACGAGTCGGAGCGAGACGGCACGGGAATGTGGAAACAAAATCACGCCCTGCTTGTTGAGCAGGTGTAAAAATTGCCAGGGCACGCGAACTCTTGCAAACACGAGGGAGGACGCGCGTTGGTAGGTCACGGCGCCGAGACGCATATGGCCAACGATTGGAGGGCACGGGGGCGCGCATGCGCGCGCGAACTGACGCGCGCAACTGAACGCGAGCGCGCGGGAACGCGCCCACGAATGCACGAATGTGTGCGCGAGCATGCTCTATGCGCGAATCGCCCAGAAAACCCACCAGAGCTGTAAGGCGCGAGTTGTCTAAGGGGCTAGGTCTTGAACCCTCCCCCGCGATTGGCCAGAGCGCCCAAGATGGCCCAGAATGGTCCCAAGACGGACCCTGCAGGTCCAAGACGGCCTCGTTCGCCCTCACCTTCTGCCTCGTCGAGGCCCTCGCCTTCCCGCGCGGGGATGCGGCGTCCCTGGTTGAGCACGCCTCCCCGGAGCGTCTCCGCGCTGACAACCACTTCCCGCTTCGGGACTCTACCTGGTCGGACGCCCTCGAAGCACGACAGGGCTACCACGTTGACTTGGACGCTCTCTGATGGTCCACATCTCGGGAAGCCCCGCTGCATCGGGCGCGTCGCTCCCTCGCCTCACCAGGGCGCTGCCCCCTCCCTAGCGCGGGCCGCGCCCAGGTCTGCCGCGGCGCCGACGCCCAGCGCGCTCTCCGCCGTGGAGGCTGCCGCGCAACAGCCAGCATTTCGCAGCGGGGGCGCCGCTCACTGGTGCGCCCTCGAGCTCGCTGGCACCAACATGTCTGCCTCGTGCGTTTCTTCGCCCACTGGTACATGTTCCATCATGCGCCCGCACAGGGTCCAAGAAGGCCGATGGCCCCCTTTTTTGCCAGCCCGATTGGCCGCGCGGCCACGCGTCATCGGAACCTGGCTGCGGCGGCGGGGGCGCCCCGTCGTTCGCGAGCCGCTCAGCGGTCAAACCAATGTCACCCCGCTGACAAACGGGGCTTCGCCGACCTGGGCCCTTTTTCCCCCCGCGCGGCAACGAATGACTTGGCGCATCACCTGCTCAACACCCCGTCACTTGCATCAGTCGTTCTGGGCCGGGGCGTGGTTGTTTCACCACTCCCCATACTGGAAGATGCGCACCACCGCCGAGGGTGCGACGGCGGCCTCGGCTACCGCAATAGCCGGCTGTCGACGGGACTCCCGCTAGCATGTCCGATCTCCCTGCGACTGTGTATATATGTATATTTCTTTCTCTCTCTCTCTCTCTCTCTCTCGCTTTCCCCCCCTCTCTCTCGTTTTCTTTCTCTCTCTCTCTCTCTCTCTTTCTCTCTCTCTCTCTCTATCTATCCAGCTCCCTCTGCCTATCGGTACCTCGATATGTATCACTGTCTCTCTTTTTCCCCTTTTTTGTCTCTCACATCCTCTCTTTTTCTTTCTCTTCCTGTCATCCTCTCTCACCGCCCCACCCCTCTGCGTCAGTCGCTTTGCGCTGGGGGGTGGTTGTTTCAACATCCTCTGTTCCCCAAGCTGTGCACCACCGTGAAGTGCGCGCGGGCGCCCGACGCTACCGCAGTAGCCGAGCACCGTCGGATCGTCTCTCTCTCTCTCTCTCTCTTTCTTTTCCTCTCTCTCTCTATGTATATATATGGCTCTCTCTTTTCGGGTCGGGCGAAAGGGGGGGATAGCCAAGGGGGAGGTTGAGAATCAGCTCACGTAGCTGATTTTCCTGGCGCCTCCTGGCGCCGGGAGGCGCCCATGTATCGAGGAATGGGCCCCTCGGTGAGGCCGAAACCAGCTGCATGCAGCAAATTTCGTACCCCCCCCTTTACCAATCCCCCCCTATCGCCCGGCCCGATCTTTCTCTATGTGCATGTTTCGCTCCCTCTTTATCGTTCTGTACTTGTGTCTCTCCGGTGCTTCTCTCTCTCTGTTTCTCCCTCTTTCTCTCTCTCTCTCTCTCTCTCTCTCTCTCTCTATGAATATATATATATATATATATATGTATATATATATACATATATATACGTATATACGTATATATATATATATATATATATATGTATATCACCATTCCCCTATGTCTGTGTCCCTCACACTCTTCCACCGGATCTCTTTCCTCCCCATTTTTCTCTGTCACACACTCATCCTCTATTATATTATACTAGAACCACGCGCGCGCTTCGCGCGCGCTTAGGTTCTGTCGAGTCACAGACCCAGGAATCGTGGAACCCCTCTCGGGCCCATCTTGGGGCTCTCTTGGGCCGCCTTTGGAGCCTCTTGGGGCGTCCTGGGTCTCTCGTGGGGGCTTCTTGGAGCTCTCTTGGCGCCTCCTGGAGCCTCTTGGGGCCGAAAGCTCGGAATTCTACAGTGGCTTTCTCCCTCTGGGACCCCTCTCGGGCACGCCTTGGGGCTCTCTTAGGCCATTTTGGAGTCCAATTTTGCCGTCCTGGGCGCCTCGTGAACCGTCTTGGAACTCTCTTGGGGGCCACCTAGGCCGTCTTGGGAGCCTCTTCGGACGTTTTGGACGCGGTGAAAACCCAAATGACGACCATGCGAAAAGTATACGTTTCCCCATAGGAATGGGACCATTTTTGCTTCTTGGACCTCTCTTGGGGTGCCTCTCGGAACGTCTTGGGCTGATTTTGGAAGCCTTTTGGCGCCTCTGGGCGGCGTTTTGGCGCCTCCTGGGATGTGTTGGGCCGGAAGCTCGGAATTCGAGAGTGGCTTTCTCCTTCTGGGACCCCTCTCGAAGTCGTCTTGGGGTTCTCTTGGGCCGTCTTGGGGCCGTCCTGAGCCACTCGTGCGCAGCCTTGGAGCGCTCCCGGAGGCCTCCTAGGCCGTCTTGGAGGCCTCTTGGGCCGTCTTGGACGCGGTGAACACCCAAGATGCGAACATGAGAAAAATATGCGTTTTCCCATAGGAATGGGACCATTTTTGTTTCTTGGACCTCTCTTGGGGTGCCTCTCGGAACGTCTTGGGGTGCTTTTGGGAGCCTCGTGGCGCCTCTTGGCGGCATTTTGGCGCCTCCTGGAGCCTCTTGGGCCGGAAGCTCGGAATTCGAGGTTGGCTTTCTCCTTCTGGGACCCCTCTCGAAGTCGTCTTGGGGCTCTCTTGGGCCGTCTTGGGGCCGTCCTGAGCCACTCGTGCGCAGCCTTGGAGCGCTCCCGGAGGCCTCCTAGGCCGTCTTGGAGGCCTCTTGGGCCGTCTTGGACGCGGTGAAAGCCCAAGATGCGAACATGCGAAAAATATACGTTTTCCCATAGGAATGACACGATTTTTGCTTCTTGGGCCTCTCTTGGGCTGCCTCTCGGAGCGTCTTGGAGGCTTCTGGGACCGTCTTGGTGTCATGACAGGCGTCTTGGAAGGCATCTGGAGCCATCGGAGCGCGTTCCGAAGCCGCCTGCGAACGATCTTGGACGGCGTCCGGCGGTCCGACGAGCCTCCGGGCCCCCCGGGGCCCACATTTGTGGTCGAGGTCCCGGCCCCGGGCCCCCGGACCCGGTGCGCCGTTATATGTATATTTCCCTTTTCATATATTTATATGTTCCTCTCTCTCTCTCTCTGATTATCTTTCTCTCTCTCTCTCTCTCTCTCTCTCTCTCTTTCTATTTCTATTTACATGTTTATATATATATGTGTGTATGTATATATATATACATGTGGAGGAAAGATGTGTGGATCTTGTTGTTTCCCCCTGTCTGTATCTGTCTGTCTAATTGTCTGTGTGTCTGTCTGAATGACTGTTTGTTCTTCTCTCTTTCTCTCTCTCTCTCTCTCTCTTTTTCTCTCTCTCTCTCTCTTTTTCTCTCTCTCTCTCTCTCTATATCCATGTGTCTCTGTCTCTATATTTCCCTCTCTCTCTCTCTCTTTCTGTCATTGTCTATATGTCTCTCCTCTCACGCCCTCACACACACACACACACACACACGTCAAAGTCGGTAATATGTCCTGCCTTTCCCTCCTCCCCTGCCGCCTCCTCCTCCTCCTCCTCCTCCTCGTCCTCCTCCTCCTCCTCCTCCCCCTCTGCCTCCTGATGCAAGCGCAATCATGCCACGGGGCTCGTGCCACCGGCGGGTCCCGTCCGTTGCTGCTGTCGTGGCGGTGGGTGGACTCCTGCGCCGGGCCGCGTCCGCTCGTGGGCGAAAAAGACACATCCGTGTCCGCGGCCTCGCGGGCTGGACTCCTGGGCCGCGCCACTGCGGATGCGGGGCGTTTCGTTCACGGATGCCCCGCGCGGAACGTATCCGTGCGACCGCGCACCCGCGGGATCGCGCCCCAGGATCCAGGCCGCGAGGGCGCCGAGACGGGTGCGTTCGCCAGCTCGCGCTCTGCTGTGACCACGTGCGCGGGCGCGGACAATCGCATCCGATCCCCTAGAGAAAGACGCTACTAGAAACATCTGGCGAATGATCGAATTCTGGCGGGTCGACACCAGGCGTACGTCTGGAATTATATCAAATCGACGCGGATCCGGGGGAAACTATGCGCCAGTGCCCCCTGGCACGTTGAGGCGTGGTAGAGGACCAACAGCTGCATGCTAGCTTTTATGAGGAATCCCACCAGCCCAGTAATGCGTAAGGGGTAGAATGCGTTTCCTATTCAAACACGTGTTCTTCCTTCCGGGGGAAGTTTAATCGGAAACCGTTACTCCTTATTGATAGCCCCCCCCCCCTTCCCAACCCAACCACCGACCAACGCGGGGCCAATGCCGACCCCAACCCCGCCATCCCTTGCAAAAAGCAATGCAGATTGGCGATATGTCCATCATTTACGGGAGGGGAGGGGGAAGGCCCCTTGATACGCTGGCGCACGCAATGTCCAGAGCGCGACGCGCGACAACCGCCAAACGCAAAGGCTGTGAAGAATCGAAAGGAACAGGAGGAGAAAGGAAATTCGGCCTGGGCGCAAGCCAGGAGTCTGCTCTCGTTCCTGCAGGGACGTGCTGGCCTGCGAAAGCACGCCCGAATCTCGAGGAGAGCGCGTTTCACGGCCTCTCGCCTTGGGAACATACGGAGGCGCGTTTCGAAACGGGGGGTGAGCCCCCCAAAAAAACACTAGGCGCCGTCGGTCAAAACCACGGGGACCCCCCTCCCCCTCAACCCCCCCCCTTACCCGAACCCCTCAGGGGGGGGTCAAATCCCCCCCCCTCGGCGCCGGCGCTGGCGACGGCGGGGACGCAGCGACGATTACCAACACTACCACCACCACCACCACTACAACCACCACCACCAGTACCTCAACCCACCCCTTCCACCATCAATCAAGCACACAACCACGACCACAACCACAGCCACCACTACCACCACAGCCACCACCACCACAACTCACCGTCACCACCACAAAAACCCACCACCGGTACCACAGCCACCACCACAATCTACCACACCACCACCAGAACCGCCACAACCACCACCACCAGCAGCACAACCGACCCCCACCACCACCACAAACCACCACACCACCACCACCACAACCACCACCACAACCCGACACCACAGCAAGCCACCACAACACCACCACCAAACCACCACCACAAACCACCACCACACCACCACCACACCACCACCACCACCACAAACCACCACCACACATCACCAAACCACCACCACCACCACCCAACACCACAACCAACACCACCACAACAAATCACCACACCACCACCACAACCACCACCACCGCCACCACCACCACCACAACCCACCACCACCACCACCACCACCGTCATTCTCGTCGGCGCTCCCGCCGCCGCCGCCCGCCGCCGCAGGCGCCGGCACCGGCCCAAAAAAAGAAATCGTCGTCCCCGCCGCCGCCGCCAGCCGCCGACGCAGGCGCCGGCCCGAGGAGAGCGAGAGGAAAATTTGGGGAGGAAGGGGAAGGGGGGGGTCGAAACCCACCCCGTCCGTCACAGGAAGGGGAGGGAGGTTCGACCCCCTCCCTTCATCCAAGGGGGGGGGTTCGGTTCCACCCCCCCCCATCCAAGCGACCACAGAACGCGCTCTTTCGACGCTCGCCCCTTCGGCTCCGCGCCGCCTCGTCGCCGAAGGCCCGCCCGGCAGCACGAGGCGGACCGAGGGGCCCAACTCGCAAAGACGTGTCTTCAAACGGCATTCGAGGTCCATGTTGCCATCTCCCTCCAAGCCCCCCCCGCCCGCGTGCTGCCGCTGAGACTGAGATGCGCGCCGTCGCCCTGGAGTAGGACACGCCTGCGGCCAAGGCTGCCAGGCGCGAGGCGCCGCTGAAAGGATCAGTGCTGCAAGACTCCGTGCTGCAGGATATCTTGCTAGGAGACTGAGGAATGACGCGCCCGTGGGTAACCTGCAGACACATGTTTGCGACGGCGGCTGGGCAGAGCTCGATTGCTCTGGCGGAATGGCAAGAGGGGACGCGCTGTATGCAAAGTATGGCCGCAACGCACGAGAGGAGGAGGAGGAGGAAGAGGAGGAGGAGGAGGAGGAGGAGGAGGAGGAGGAGGAGCCCCGGCGCGACGGGGGAAAGGCCTGCAGTGGACACATACGATACGGCATCTTGCCATAACAGGCCGATACCGGGGGCACACTCATCGTCTACAATTCTGAGGGCCGTGAGGTGCCCCAGAGTTTCTGTGGGTCCCCGGGGCCACTGGGGAATCACAGAGAAAACGTCGGGCACCCACCGACAGGCCGAACTCTTCTTGAGTTATGTCGGGCGCGTCCCACTACAGGGAGATGTTCGACGGAAAAAATACCCCAAAAAAGTGCCAAAAAGGTCAAACAATACTGAAAAAAATAGTCCCCAGACTATTTGGGAATGATTTTTTGAATATTTTGAGTGGTAAATTTTATTGTTCGTCGACAACCCCCCTGTAGGGGGACAGGCCCGACTTAGTACTTGAGATACCCCACGCAGATTGCCCAGGCAGCTCGAGGGCAGGGTGGGCAAGAGCGGCTCGCTCGCCAGGGAGGGCGCCAACACCGCTCCCACACGTCCCCCGTGCAGTCCTCGGGCTACTACAGGGCAGTGTTTAATACATCGGATGTTAAAACATATAGGAATGTTAATACAGGATCATTTCATGAATAAATTTATGCATGAACTCCTGGTTGTTTTTAATACTAAATCCCTGCATTGTCAATACATGATCCGCACGCGGAGCATGTATTAAAAACGGCACTGTACAGTCAACCCGTATCACAAGGATGCGCGGTAAGGATGCAAGGGCCTTGGAGGCCCATGTGACCGTGGTTCCAAGGAGGCTGGCCAGCGAAAGTCGTTAAAGATGGGCCGAAGGGGCAAGGATGCAAGGGTACCCATTTGGAAGGTTGCCCATCCTTACTATGCGGGTCGGAGGATCGCGCCGCACCGCGGATACATCGGCGATGTACCGGCGATGTATCGGCTATGCACCGGCGATGCATCGTCGACGTCAGCGATGCATCGGCGACGTAGGCGAAGAGAAAATCTGGCTCCGCATCGAGCCTCCGACCCAATCTGCTCCGACCCCATCTGGGAGACCTAAAGAAAACCAGAGAACCCTCCCCGAGCCCCCGAGATGATCTTCCTTTAACGTTAAGTCGAGCGTGTCCCCCTACAGGCGGATTTTGGGCGAAAAATAATAAATAGCCAAAACAGCTCAAACATAAATTCAGAAAATGGTAGAAAAGTCGTCGTCCAAAAAAGTTCTACTATGTTTGAATATTCCTCCTGTAGAGGGACACGCCCGACTTAAGCCTACAGAAAACCAGAGAACCCCAGAGAGGCCTAGAAAAAACCAGAGAACTGAATATCGTTCAACCGATCCCCGTCCCCAGCGGCGTGACCTGGGCCCCCCTGGCCGATTTGCCCCCATGGCCGCTCCATTCGGGTCTCGGGGCGTGTACTCCCAATCGGGGTGGTAATTTGGTGGGGGCCTCGAAGGGGATGAGGATGGGTCGGTTGAACGATACCGACTCCCGAGCCCCCGAGCTGCTCTTCCTTCAGCCGTCTTGCCTGCAGCCCTCCTCGGCCGAGGGCCGCGGGGAGCGAGGGCGGGCGGCGCCCCCCGCCTTGCCTCCGGCGGCCTCTCCTCGAGCGCAGCACGCCGGAAGCACGCGCCCTCGGCACGAGTGGCACCGATTGAGGGCTGGGCGCCGAGCGTACCAGTCGGGGCGTCGACGTAAGGAGCTCTAAATCAGGAACGAGGCCCCTGTTTTCCTCAAGATTGCCTTCGATTGCCGATCGACGACCGGAGGTAAACCGAAGGCAGACGATAAAAAACAACTGAGGAGCACGGAGCCCCTCCCAAACGAGAAGGGGTTCCTTCTTCAGCGCCCCAACTGTATCGCTGACTACCTACCAGACCACGCCAACCCAACCCGAAGACCCGAATTGGACCCGAATTTCGGGTTGGGGGGGTACGGGCTCCATGTGCTTTTCCAATGTTCCCCGACCCCCTCCCACTGGAAATGGAGGGCAAATCGAGGCCTTCGGGTTGGGCTGGGGCAGCTTGGTGGCTGGGTGACTCGCAGGATGCAAGGGACCATCCTTCCAGGACTCGCAAGGACGCCAATGCGCCGCCAGGACATGCTCACATCCACTGCCGCGGGGCCGTGCCTTGGGCACGCGAGGAGCGGCGGATTTTCGGAGGCCTGCCCCGCCCAGGCGGGCGGGCAGATACCCATGTCCACCACTCCTCTTTGGATGACCCTAAAGGGGGTCCAGCTGCAAGAGGGTCGGTGCAATAGATGTACGGCAATTGTATTGCAAATGTACTGCGCCGGAGAACTGTATTGCATTGTATTGCAACTCGTGTATTGCACGCGAGAATCCAGCAGTACATTTGCGACACGGAATGTATTGCACGCCCCAACTGTATTGCAACCCCACAAATCTATTGCACCAAATCTATTGCACCACGCCCTTGTCGCTGGACCCCCTTGTGGGTCAACCCGATCCTCGAGATCCCAGGGCACGACTCCGCAGCGGTGGGTGTGGACATCTTCCAGCGGTGGAGCCCAGGACCGGCCCGCCCCCCCCCCTGGTCACCTCGCGACTCGGGCCAGCGCCATCTGGGAGTGAGCCAGAGGAAGTCCCAGGCGGCGCCAGCGCGAATCGTGACGCGACTGGCCCCCCTCCCCCCTCTGTCACCCCCGTCGTCGCCAGGGGATGAGAACGCGGCCTCCACGCGCTGCAACACCGCGACGGCAACTCCGCACCAGGAGCACCAGCACCAGTGAAGACGGGACGCCCGCCGTCGGAGGCGGCGCGCGAAGAATGGAAGAACAACCGATACCGCTGCCTACTCCGCAAACTCCTCCTGAGGTGCGTTCTCCACGAACGGGGAACGTACGTATCACTATCCGCGCCCTCGGGATCGGGATTCTGGGGCGCGATCCCGCGGCATGCCCGGGCGCACGGAGACACTCCGCGCGTGGCCTCCGCGAGAACAGCGCCCCGTATCCGCGATGCCGCAGATATGGATGTGTGCTTCGCCCACAGAGTCTGCCCAGAAATTCGAGGATAGCCCAGCCGTGGCGACGAGGGCTCTCCAAAACTTGCAATTTGTATCGGTATCTCTCACTGCACCGACCTTGCGGACGTGCTGCAGCGGATTTTCGCGCGGAAATCTGTCAATGCAAAACCCCGAAACGGCGAGCGAAAAACGAAGTGAGTTCCCTGGTGCCCAAAAAAATCCGCACGAAATTCACTTCGAAACCCAGAACGAAATTCTCCAGGACACTCTGGGCACACCCGAATGTTTCCCGCGCGAAATCCGCTCTGCGATGTTGACGCCATGATATCTCCCCCTCCCATGGAAGACCCTGGCAGCGCCCGCTCCTGGAAGCGGACGATGGACCTGAGCACTGCGTGGTCACAGGCAGGCCCCGGTGGAGGCGAAGCTCGTCCGAGGTGCAGAGGCGGCAGGCTGGTGAAGGACGTCTGGGGAGCGGCAGCGGCGCGGCTGCCCGAGGAAGAGAGAACTGGGGGGCAGCGATAGGAGGGGACTGGCACAGGGGGGAATGCACAAGGGGAGACGAATCGACTGTATATCGCCGATAGATCGGCGATAGGCCCCCGACAGTGAATCCGCACCTTCCTGGGCAGGTTTGGGCTATCGGGGCCCTATGGGCGATCAATGGGCAATTGGGGGTCGATGCATCCCCCCCTATCCCCCCCCTATCGTTGCCCCCGAACATCTCGTCTCTCCCGTCACGTCACGATCTGCCTCGAATGCGTGCCGCATCCGTGTCGAACGCGTCGAATCTAAGTCGCATCCGCGACGTACCCACGCTGGGTACACGGCGAATCCGCGCCGACCACGCGTCGGGTATCCTGATGGATTGCAACTCATGTGACAAACGAGGTCCCCCGAAGAGGCAACGCAACCAGGGAAAGCAGCAGCGGCGAGCGCGACCGGCGGGAAGGGCAGCAATGGAGAGCCGGAGGCAACAAGGGCGAGGATCTGTTGGCTGCGGGGAAGCCTCCCCGCCGAGAAAGGGCGGCCAGGGCAACAGCAGGGGCGTCTGGACCGGGAAGTGACCGCTGCGGCGAGACTGGGGACCAGCACATACAGCCAAAAACCCTAATAAGGACGCGCGGTAAGGACGCAAGACCCTTGGAAGCCGAAGTTGGGATTTTTGGGGCGGCGGACGACGAAAACCTGAAGGACGCAAGAGCAAGGAAGAGCAAGGACGCAAGGGTACCCTGAGCAAAGTCGCGCGTCCATATTAGGGTTTTTGACTGTAAGGGTTTTCGACTTGTAGGATTTTCGACTGGGCAACACATGTTGTACCAAACTCGGGGACATACGATGGGGAGGCACCGATCCTCGATAGGGGTGCGTCCAGATAGCGCCCTGGGATTGTATCAGAACGATCGTAGACCAGGCCATGACGACACAGGCCAGCAAGAGCGCTTCTGGTGCCAGGGCTCGGCCCCGAGGGGCTCGACTGGACATCTCTGAACCTGGCGGCTCTGGAGGATGTATCGGGCTCCGCAAGCATCCCAGAGCGTTCCAGAACGCTCCGAGAGCGTTCCAGAACGCTCTGGAGCAATGTATTCCGGTCCTGGCCCCGCCCAAGGTGTTCCGATGCGCGGATCGCCCCAAACTGGCCAACTGCGGACCACCAGCGGCGATCAACCAGGAACGCCCGCGGCGCGAATCTGCCGTAGGCATCTAAGTTTGAAATACCAGTGCGGGAGTGCCCTGGGACCCCCCAAGGCCTCTTGGGGCCTCTGGGGGCAGTTTTTTGGGTCGCTGGGAGCGCCTCTTGGGAGCATCTGGAGGGCCTCTTAGGGGTCATGTTCAAGCCTCGGAAGCGTATCGAAAGCGAAAAAGGAAGGAGGCCGCAATCATTGATTTTCCTGAGGGCTTCAATTTTTGAATCGCTTCGCTCATTCCGCCGGCCCATAATTGCGTGCCGTTGTCGACTGACCGAGTGGTCCTTCTCGGTGCGGAGCTGCAGGGGCGGCGGCTGTTTTCATCAGGCTTTGCGTTCGGCATGTAAGGCTTCTCGGTGGCCGCTGGAGGAGTCTTGAACGCGTCGCGGGCCGTCTGAAAGCGTTTTGCCTATGGGGACTCTTTCGGGAGGCATCTTGGTGACCACGTGGGGACTCTTAAACGCGTCGGGTCGTTGGCACTTGCTTGCGTGCTCGGGGGGCATTTGGGGGGCCTCCTGGGGCCGCTTGGGGGCCTCCTGGAGGCCTCCTGAGGGCCTGTTGACAGCCTCTTGGGGCCTTCTTAAGGGCCTTTTGGGGGTTCCTGGGGGCTTCTTAAAGCCCAAGGGCTCGAAATGTTGTGTTGTGTTCCCCCCCTGGGACCTCTCTTTGGGCGTTATTGGGGCCTCTTTCGGCGGTTTGGAGGCCTCTTGGGTCCTGAGGGTTTCAATTATTTTCGTGCCTGGGGGTGCCTCCGCAGGAGCCTCTTCGAAGACTCCTGGAGCATCTTGAGGGCCTCTCGGTTCTTTTGGAGGCAACCCAAGAGGGGGCTTGGAGAGTTTTTTTTTTTTTTTTTATTATTTTTTTATTATTTTTTTTTGCGAAGGCCGCTCACAGCTTGGTTTGAATATGGGCCACACGGCCTCACGCCCGTGGGCGCACACTCAGAGAACCAGTGTAAGGAGACGTGGCAGCCAGCGAATTTTCATGTCAATTGACTCGGCGGCGCCCGCTGCAAGCCAAGTAGCGGTGCGGGTTTGCTCTCACCATGCGTACACTTTTCCTGTTCCCCTCCGCCTCCACCACCACCACCACCTCGGACACACCCGTCACGCGTGCTTACGCACCACGGTGATCATATTCGCGACGGCCCATCATGGAAGAAGCGACCCATCTAACTGCGACGGTCCAGGGCACGTGCACGTATCAACTGCAACGCGGTCGGGCCGCAAGGCGATCGACGCTGACGTGAAATTGTTGTGACGAGGGTCGCTCGTCAAATTATGGTGCCCAGCTTAGGCATCAAGGCTACAACTCAATCTGGAAAATAACGCTAAAACGTCTGTGGAAGGCTAAGCAGACAGACCCCATCAGCACCTCCACGTGTAACCCCATGCTATTCCCGCATCCCGAATCTTCCACCCAACTCCTCCAGTGTCTGATGGTGCTGCCGCTGCCGCTGCTGCTGCTTCTCCTCAAGGGGCCCAGCCCGCTCTGAGAATCGGCCAGTTAACCAACAGACGGTCTTCAAAAACAATGAAGCAATGGCATTCTGAGTGGCCACGCAGAGCGTCCTCTCATTCCGGGCAATCGCATCAATCATCTCCCTCGCCACCCCACCACCACCAAACGACACCCCATACTTGCACCCCATACAGGACCCCTCCCCCTTGCGGGGGCCAGGACCAGGGGGAATCGTCTTCGCAAAGTCCGCATCTCTGCGCGCACCTCCATTCCGCGTCTGACCGTGCAGAGCTCCGACGGGGAGCGGCTGTGGGCGTGCCGCGATTGGAAGTACTGCAGCCGTCTCACTCAGCGCCATTGGTGAGGTAGAGGAAGAAAGGTCGAGAATCGCGAGGGAGGCGCCGTGCAAATTGTGATAACGAAGGCACAGGGTCACGCCTTGATGAGCGGTACGGATGCAATGCAGGCCAGCTCTTTGTTCCGAGCCGCATGTAAATTGCTGAGCGAGGCTGCTCATGTGGCGGCGACCAGCAGCAGTCGCCGTCCAAGGCTCATCTCAGGTGTTAGCGGCGAGGGTGTCTAGACTCTCACCTCGAATCGCGACGATCCCTTCTTCAGATCCATCGGATGGGCTACTCTTCTTCTGGAGGTCGTGCGCACTCTCTAGATACGAAAATGGTCGGCCGCCCCCGGAAGTCACAAGGATCGTCATCCCCTCCCTCCCCTCCCCCATGCCGTCGGTCCTCGTCCTCGCTGGCAGCCCCGGCCAAACCCCCGCTCAGTCGTCGTAGTGCGCGGGCTGCGCGCTCAGGAGGATCTCCTTGAGCCGCGACCTGCCCTCGGCACTGAGGTCCTGCCACGCGGCTCCGCGAGCAGGCGCCTCGGCGAGCTCGCTCCCGCTCCAGGAGCAGATGCTGCCGCTGCTGCTGGCGGGCTGCTGCCGGCCGCTCCAGGAGCCCACCAGGTCCAGGTGGTCGCACAGGGAGAGCCGCAGGCCAGGCGGGGCCTGCCTCGGCTCCGCGCCCGTGCGCGGCCTGCGCCCCTTGGCTCTGCTGCTGAAGGCATCCATTTGGGCGGGCTTCTCCGCGCCGTGGGGGAAGTGGCAGAAGTTGCAGGCCTCTCCGCGGGGGCACTCTTCGGGGGCCAAGTGGAAGCGGCACGGGCGGCACTGGCCCTTGAAGTGGTTCTTCGAGCCCCTCGAGGCCCTGCGGCGGCGGCTCGGCGCCGAGGGCGCGGTCCTCGCAGAGGCTCCGAAAATCCGCGGGGGCGGCGCCCCGCTGCGGCGCCGGGGCGGCGGGGACGCCGCCGATCTGGATCGGGATCTGCATCAGCAACATCGTTTCGGGCTTCGGGTGACACCCCGCCGGCACTGCACCGGGCCTGGTGCTCTCAGTCTGCCTGGGCCAGCACTGTTGCTGCTTGAGCCAAAATGGCTACGGAAGGGGGCTTGGAGAGTTCTTGGGGCCATCTTAGGGCATCTTGGAGGCCTCGTGGGTTGTCTGGAGGCAAGATTGGCTTCTTTCGGCGCAGTTTTGGTTACTTTCGGCGCCCTCTTGGCACTCGCACGGGGGAAGTCACAGCCACTGGACAAATTGGGCCCCCCCTCCCCCGACCCAGGACCCCCTCACCATTTCTATACATATATGTGGTTCCAGCGCTTGTCATGAACACCCGCAAATCCCCCAGCACATTGAAGAATGCAGCCTCTCTGCCCCTCTGCCGTACAGAAACGAATAGCACAGCAAGACAATCCGTGTAGGTTCACTGGCGCACGGAACCTCTGACGTCACCCAGTTGGCAAGGGGGATACAGTCATCGGCCTGAACGAAGGAACGATAAATAAGGAACGAACGCCCTCGTTTTCCAAGTACGCCTACGAAATCCGAATGAACGGCCAAACCCCTTTCTAGCGGCGGTGGGCCATAAGGGTAGCGGGACGCATGCGAACCGAAGGAACGACCGAGCCCCTTTTGAAAAGTAAGCGTTCCTTATTCCAGCCGCTTTCTGCAACATATTAACGCATTCCGGGGCCGTGGTCGTACACAGACAGGTTCGACTCCAAGCGTGCAAAGAGGCAGTAAGCAAGAGTGTGTCCGTGGTCGTGTCGTGCTCGTTTCGGTGATGATGTCCCTCGCGCGTGCAAAATCCGATCTAGGAAATTCAGAAGGCTCCCCACGCCCGGGGAACAACTACCACATGAAGTGGGACAGCTCCCGGGGAACACTTTTCCCGTGGAGCGGGATTGAAAAAGCATGCGGTACGACAAACTGCTGATTTCGCAGCGGTCCGCAAGCGTTGCGTTTCAGCTTAGATGTCAT